TTCAAATTCAATTGATTGAAGTATTACAAGTTATATTAACTTACTGTTCCATATATATTATACGGGCGATTGATTAGAGAATCTGGAGCTCTGTAAGTAGGAAATTTAGATCACATATGACATATAGTGTACAAAGAGTTTCATATGACTTATTAGGAGTGATTACAAGTTATATTTATAGTTGACTGTTCCAATGGGTATGTCGAGTGATAGGTAAGGTGAGGTATATATATGATCGGTATATAATATTTCTAGTGGTAATTAGAATATATAATATAGTGAGGTATAGATTGTATTGATTGGTGAGGTCATTATAGTAGATTCAAAGCCATATCAGACATGGGTAGTACATTCTTAAGTTGACATTTAATTTTTACGAGAAACAGGCGTGGTATGGCTTTAAAATTATTGTATGTGGCTTGAGTTTATGTAGCCCATGTTTATGCGGTCATTGTGTTAATTGCTATATTTATCAGGTCATATGCGGCTGTACACTTTCTTTTGATGACGGGCAACCAATACTAAAGTTCTGATGTATGGAGAATTGTACCCAGGAGAGGAAAAAGTGGAGAAAACAGACCTGAAGTTTGTCTGAGTTAATAGAACAGGAATGGTGTTCTAGTGGAATAATAGATAACAGAATTTTCTAGGAAAATAGAATCCTAGGAAGGTATTATAAAAAAGTTAAATTATTATCATATTTGATGATAATAAAACTTTTCAAAAAAAAAAAAGTTACAACTTAAAATATCTTATGTTCAATACGAAGCTACTTTTTAAAGAGTATTTTTTCCATGTACACAAAGAAATTAGAGATGATAGCTATACACTGGTAGATATGGACGGTTCATTTAACTGCCAGTTTTGATTCATAGAATCGGGGGTTCAAAATTTTTAAAATATTAAACCTGAATCAGTCTTTGAACTGTTAGTTTCGATTCGTTTCAGTTCTATACATTCAGGTAGGTATGGTCGGTTCATTGAACTGCCGATTTTATTCACTGAATTGACGGTTCAAAATTTTTAAAATGTTAAACCTAGATCAGCCTTTAAATTGTCAGTTTTGATTCATTTCAATTCTAATGCAGTTATGATGAACCGATGGTTCCGATTATGGTTTTTGATACATAATTTTTTTTTTCAAAAAAAAAAAAAGGTTTTAAGATTACATCTTTCTTTCAAACAAATTAATGTGAATTTTAAAAAATATTGATAAATTTTATTTTAAATAACTTTTAGAAAGCTGATATTCATAATATTTCATACAAGAAATCTTAAATTAATGTTTTTAATTAATTTTACAAAATAATCAAACATATAGTCATTTTATTTTGTCTAAATATTATTAGTTAAATAAATTGTTAGAAAATTTTAAAAAATGCTTCAAATAAAAATTTTACTTTTTTTTACTATTTTACTTTTTTAGATTTTTAACTTTTATGTAAAATGTATTTTTCTTTTAAAAAAATTTTAAGTGTTTCATGCAGTAAAACTTAAAATCGTCAGTTTTCTTTTTTAGAGGTATATAGAATAGACTACGTGATTATAGTTTTAAAAATAAAAATAGAAAATTTTCAATTTGAACTGAACCGAAATCTCCTGTTAACAGTCGGTTCTATATCTATTCAGGTTCAAATTTTAACATTTACGTCATAGATTCAATTAAAAATTTTGTACCAACATTTCGAATTGGTTTTTGATTCATCTATATTATAGTTTGATTCCAATTGCAATCTACGTACCAATGCTCAAGAATTTAATTTTAATGAAAAAAATTCAGTGAAACATCGGAATCTAACTATTTCAATTCTTTTTTTTTTGGTCAAATAAATGTGGGTGGTTATGGATGAAAAATAAATAAAAAAGAAAAATAAAAGCTATTAAAATCAACAAAAGAAAAGGACAGGCTATTAAAATTGAAACACATTCACGTGGTTATATACGCTAGGTTTGTCCCCTTGCGTCGGTTGCGTTACAGCCGCAAATTGGGTCGTGACAGTAAAAACTTTCAACAATTTCATGCTGTCTTTTGATTATTGGGTCAATGTCTATTCACTGTAGTAGTAAAAGGAAATTAAACATGAAGATAAGAAATTTGCCACTCTTACTTGGAATCCAAAATGTTATATTAATATTATTTTAAATTTATATTAATATTATTTTAAATTTATTTTCATTTTCAAGTTATTACAATGTATTGACTTAAAAAAAAAAAATTCAAACAATCAGCTATATATATATATATATTGTTAGAAAAATATAATCAGTTATAATTCTTGATTAACTGATGATTTGAATATATGATATTTGGTTAATTTTGATTAATTTATATGTTTTTGGTGCTTCATGATATTTGGTTAATTTTGATTAATTTATATGTTTTTGGTGCTTCATTTCACCTATCCGTTGATAAATTTATAACTAATTAGCATGTAATTGTTATATTTTTAATAATTTATAGTTGTAATTTCAACATTTTCATGGTCTGTCAAGTTTTATTCCGCCTAATTTCTGATTGAGACTTTAAGCAGCTAAATACAGTGCATTATCCCTTTATACTAAAACATGAGATATTAACTGCGGATTGTGACTCAGTTTGACAACGTAGGCTTATAAAAAAACTCTCGTGTTCGATCCCAACTAAATGCACCTATAGGGAGGGGTGAGGAGTCTTAATTGTGATTAAACTTTGAGCCATATTAGGGGGTCCCTGATAATAGAGTTCGGATACCTGATAGATATATGCCAATATAAAAACCAAAACCTTCAATTTCATCCTGAACTTTTCGAATAGTTATAATTTCACTCTAGATCGACCTTTCTACCTTGGGCACCTTGAACTTATCACCTTAGTGCAATTACACTCTAATTTATTTAGAGTGAAATTACAACTATTTGAAAAATTGGGGGTAAAATTGAAGGCTATGCCTTGCCTTTTTCACTGTACCGTCTAGGAATCTCAATTCATGAAAATGAGACCCATGACAGTACAAGCATTAAAGCATACGAATTTTGAATCAAGAAAGAACATGATATTCTAGTTTTGGGGCTCGTGGCTGCCCCTTCTTGCTTTTTCATGAATCAAATCCGATCTTATAGCGATTGTCTATTCAATTTAAATGTATCTTAACACTTAATCCATTTAAGTTTATTTTTTTTATTAATTTATCTTACTGTCATTAGTCATTATTTCACAATTTTCTTTCATATCGTTTTCCTTTTAGAAGAAAGATATATAATATATGACTTTTCAAGCATAGATGCTGATTTGGCACAATACTAGAGTGCTGTCCCTGCTGATGTGGCTCAAAGTTAGGATATTACTACATATTTTGTTGAATTGGAAATTTCTTTTCATTTTAAATAAATTATTTTTTTAATGTCATTGACGGAAGTTTTCTTCGGCTTTTGACAAAAATAATGCTTTTCAAAAAATTATTTCTCAGTCTAATCTTTGTCCTTCTATGGAGAGAGAATATTGCAATAAAACCACCAATTCAAATGGTGATTTCAACGTAACAAAAAAAAGTAACTCATACTGACAAATAGTCAATAAAAAACAATTATATGAACATGCAATAATTTTTATTTTATATTGAGACCATCAATTAGATTGCAACTATGAAAATTTTAAGTTATCAATTTGCCTTTTTATTAAAACACACAATTCGTTTAATGGTTTTATTGCAACTATGAGATACGTGCACTAGTAAGGAAAAAGTATATGGGGAAATAGTATTTTTAGAGTCCACTAGCTTAGCTAGTGGTTTCAGTAAAAAAACATTTATTTACTCAAAATATTTTTTCATCAAAACACACATGTGTTCTGGTGGTTTTAGTTCACGATTATTTCAAGTTAAATAATTATCAACATAAGTTTCCTTACATAGTTAAAAATTACCAAGAGTAATAGTTCTAATATATTTCTAGTGTATATTTCTATATTTTTTTTGTCTAGGTGCAGTAAATATTTGTAGTGCAATATTTTTAGTGCATATTTCTAGTATATGATTTTAATATATTTCTAGTATATATTTCTACATTTTTTTTCCAGATGCAGTTAATATTTATAGTGTAATATTTTTAGTATATTTCTAGTATGTATGTATTTATAATAGATTTGTAGTATATATTGTGAATGTTTATGATATTTATATAATTTTTACTTGCAATAATTTTTTATTGATTTCCATATATCGATCATGATTGTAGATCATAATAATAATATTTATTATATATCACGAAAAAGTAGATTTATATATGGATTATAATAGTAGATCATAATAATTTTTTATTGATTTCCATATATCGATCATGATTGTAGATCATAATAATAATATTTATTATATATCACGAAAAAGTAGATTTATATATGGATTATAATAGTAGATCATAATAATAATATTATGTTTTTCTATAGTGGATCTATAGTATATAGAAAGATGCAGTATGTCGAAACCCACGTTGTAATATGAGGCCTCCAGCGTGTGATATAGGAGGACAAGTGAGTAGACATTAATATAATTGTATAAGGAAATTTATGTTGTTATTACTTAACTTAAAATAATTGTGAACCAAAACCACTAATTCATATGTGTATTTTGATGAAAAAATATTTTGAGTAAACAAATATATATTTTTTTTTATTGGAATCACTAGTTAACTTGGTGGATCTTAACAACACACTATTTCTCTATGTACTTTTTGCTCACTAGTTGCCATATTTCATATTTGCACTAAAACTACCAAATGAATCGTATGTTTTAGTGAAAATACAATTTTAAAAATTTAAAATTTTTATTTTGTATTAAGACCATCAATTAGATTGGTAGTCTTAATACAAAATAAAAATTATTGTTTATTCATATAATTACTTTTTATTGATTGATTATCAATACGAGTTACTTTTGTGCAACAATCTCTCTCCATAGTAAGACAAATATTAAATTGTTAAATAGTTTTGAAATAACATTAGATTGAGAAATATTTTTTTTGAAGAGCATTATTTTTATCAAAAACCCAATTTTCTTTCCATTATTTCATTATTTGATTGACATTATTCAATTTATTACACACCACAACAGCGTTTTTTGGTACATTTGAAAGTAAAAACTAAAGCCAAGAAAACTATAACCTATCTTCTAAAAACCCACCCCTATCTTATAGTTATCTGCATGCAATATATCAGTAGGTGAACTTTACTTTGCAGATAGAATATAAGAAGTTGAAAATTAAGGACGGTATGGAATGGGAACCAATTCAAGGTCTACTTTTCTTTTGACAGCTGCTCCAAAAGCTTCGTTCATGTCAAGATTTTCTGCAGTTACTCCTTTAGGAAATTTCCAGTCAAAATGATATAGCAAGTTTGCCAGGAAAATCTCCAGATTAGCCATACCTAGAGTCATTCCAGGGCATATTCTTTTTCCTGCTCCAAATGGAATTAGTTCAAAATTGGTACCCCTATAATCAATTGCACTATCAATAAATCTCTCCGGTTTGAATTTCTCAGCTTCACTCCAAACTTTAGGATCTCTTCCGATTGCCCATGCGTTAATGAAAACCCGAGTGCCAGGATAAACGTCATATCCACTCACCTTAGTCCTTTCCCTACAAACCCTTGGAACTACAGCTGCTGCAGGATGTAATCTCAATGTTTCTTTATTAATTAAATTTAACCATTTTAATTCTTGAAGTTTTGCTTCGTCAACCTTTCCATTTTCACCAAAGAAATTCCGCAATTCTTCTTGTGCTTTCTTCATTATTTCTGGTTATTTCTTCATTATTTCTGGATTCCTCATCAACTCAGCCATTGCCCATTCTACGGTTTTTGAGGATGTGTCGCTTCCAGCTCCAAACATATCCTGCAATTATTATAATCATCAGTTGGAGCTTGAAATCACAATTGGAACCTATTTAAACCCTTTTTTTTTTAAATAAATAAAGAATGTAACTAAAAAAAAAAAAAAAGAAAAAGAAAAAGAATGGAACTAGAAAATACTAATATACACTAACAATGATTGCTGCTTTGATGGCGACATCAGTTAAAGGAACATCAAGATTTCCGCTTTGTTGAAGATCCAAAAGAACATCAAGAAGATTATCAGCTCCCCTCTGATCGCCATTCCTGGAAGCCGCTGCCTGCCTGTTAGCTCTATGCTCTTGTAAAATATCTTCAAGGATCTCATCTGTTTCATAATGCAATTTCCTAATTCAAGACCTTTCCCTTTGGACTGAAGGAAGCCATTTTAAGGAAGGAAATATATCAGCTATACCAACACCTCCTATTGATTCAATTATATCATCAATAAGTCTTAGCAATGCTTCTTGGTTTTTGCTTTTATGACCAACCGTATTTCTTGCAATCATAGAATTTGCTAAAGCGAATAAAGTATGAGTAAGATTAACAGGACTTCCCTCTTTCGAACCAAGAAATTTGACTAAATCTGCGACTTCTTCTTCTCTCACTGATCGAAAGGACTGTACTCGTTTTGATCAAAGGAATCTGTACTCGTTTTTGCGCTTAAGTAATTCCAACTGTGCAAATTTTTTCTCAAAATTTGCCTCCATTGGATCTCCGTTAGCAACCCAAAAATGATGTCGTTTCGGTTATAAAGCAACTATTTCTACTGGCAAACGAGAAGCTCTCTTCCGTTATGCGAAAGACGGGATCTTGTATTTTCCATACAACTTCTTTAAGCTGTTTCCGGCGAGGACACGACAAGAAAAGGGAGGACACGACAAGGAAAGGAATCTGACCGAGTTTAATACCCATTACAGGTCCGTAAGTTTTGGCCAAGGCTGTTAACCGGCGATGAGGTACATCTCCGGCGAGCTGGAGAATATTACCTAAGAAAGGTAATTTCCGTGGTCCGGGCGGTGGGTTAGAATCATGTTTGTACAATTTCTTGGATACTTTGAATAAGACGAGAAGAAAAAGAAGGAAACTGAAAAGAACTTGAAATGAGAGGATTTGGTCTTGCATAGTGAAAAAGCTATTTGGTTATGGAGAAGATCGGAATAGAGAAAGAGCTAATGGTGACTGGTTAGAACATAACTGAGCATCAATTTTATCGGGTAGTCTGGATGGAGACAGACAGACAGCATTATCGTTGTTCGTTTTTGACTTCCTTATTATTTTATTTGATTTTTCTAATATAATAATTTATTTATATCAATAATAATATATTCCTTAATATCCTTAATTTAAATAATATATTGTGAATTCCATACAAAAAGAATATATACAAAAAGAATATATATTATAAAATATTTATGATGATTTTAGCTAGGATAATCAAGTTATACTTATAGTTTGCTTTAGAAGAATTTTCTTTTAGTCAGCAAACTTAATAATCTTATTAAATTTTATAAAAGACTTAACATATTTAAGAGTTTTGCCGTGAACCTATACGCATATATACTCAAACCTATCTCGAATAACAGATAATTGTCTAGACTGGGTCGATGATCCTATCTATATATTAAATCGATGAAAATATGAATTTTTTTAAAAATTATTTCTATTTTATCTTTTTTTTTAGTAAAAAATACTTTTATTTAAACAAAAATTCTATTTTCATTAGTTTGATTCATGGATGAAATATGGTCCCGATCTAAATAAGTAAATCCCATCTCGAATGTAATAAGTAAAAAAATCGGGTGAAAACTACATCATTAACAAAGAGAAGTATCTCAAACTAAAATGTAACTTAAACCACAAGTGAGGCATAGCATAGAACATAGGAACAATCCAATTTCTGAGCTATAAAACAAGAAAATACAATCAAGATTCTAAAAAACAAAAAACAATATATGTTAAGAGACCCAAACTTATGCCTAACACTATGATGCTCATTTTGACTTCAATAATCTTCAAGCTTGAAGCAATCCATAACCAAGAGCCTAACCATCAAAACCAAGCTAAGAAAGAAGCATCAGAATCCACTTCTTCAGAATCCACTTCTGATTCGCCAATCCATCTGCATAAAAATTTCGGTCACGATGTACATGAGTAAAGAAAATTCTTTCAAAGGAAGCATAATGTTATCAAACTTATTAAAATATTCGCACCATTTCCATAGACGGTTATCTCTATGAGTTATTCAATAGACAACAATTTTAGAATCGGACTCAATAATCACCAAATCTCTGTAGAAATCATATTGTGATAATAGTTCAACCACTCTAAAAATAATAATGAGTTATGCTTAATTAGAATCAAGAACACCAACATATTGATAGAACAAGCAAGAAATAACACCTTGGAAATTTCAACAAACTTGATGCCATTATATCCTCTCTAATCTATGTCAGTTTTACCCATATTAACAGGTTCAAAAGCTCATTTGCAGATTTTTTGGCTAAGAAAGGCGTTGATGAGGAAAATAAGCAGGTTCAAAAGCTCATTTGCAGATTTTTTGGCTAAGAAAGGCGTTGATGAGGAAAATACTCTCCTGTCCTAAAATATAAGTTGTTTTTCCACAAGGATTAAGGAAGCAATTAACTCTCCTAGATTATAACAAAATCAAGGGTTATTTGATCAAATTATCCTTTATCTCAAAACCAATAGTTACTTGTGAAGATATTTTTTATGTTTAATATAAATAAGAGTAATATTAGAAAATCATCATTTTTCTTTAAAATAATCAAAACTGACTTATATTTTAGAATAAAAATCACCAAAAAACGAGAGAGTACTTTTTTAGCTTGGCTTTAACTTTGTAATAGCTTTAACTATTCTTATTTCTGCTGCATGTTGTCAATCTCTTTTCCTCTCATGAAAAGTAGATTGAGGTTGCGTCTTTATTCTTAGGCAACATGCTTTTGGCTTTTCTGCTTTCTGTCCTGTCTTTATATTGTTCTTGTAAGGTGGAGGTTTTTTTTCTCTACACTCCAAGTTTAGTTTTGATGTGTGTAAAGGGGAAACCTGATGATTTAAGTGTAGTTCTCGGTGCTGTGAAGCTTTTTCTACCTTTTCTCTTATTTTTCACTAATAAAATCTTATTTTTCTTTGCCGTTTAAAAAAAGAAAAAAAAACAAAATATATACCTGCCGATCCGCGTTTGCCCTTGGAAGCGATAAATTTGAAAGCTCCAAAAACCGAGGGAAGCCATAAGATGGATAACGTCCCCAAAGCCTTTTTCCTATGAACCTTATAGTTTGAGCCACCAACAATGGTTGAAGAACGCATGCAATTATTATAGCAATAATGCTAAGAAGGGACTTTAGCTTTTAGAAGTTCAAAGCTACGAAGCTTAATAGTATCCACCGAAGCTTCATCGTCAATTCTCTTTCTATCCACCGAAGCTTCATCGTCAATTCTCTCATTTGAAAAGATTAATTTGTTTCTCCTTAACCACATATAAGAGTGTTTGTAATTACTTGGTATTATTATTATTAATGAACTATATTTCTTTAAGAAAAAAAAATGAAAATGTACTAATAACATTTGATAATCTGAAATAAATGTACACTGGACACAATTCGACATTATGAGACTAATTGGTAAGTGATATAACTATGTGAATATTAATATAATATGAGAAAATTAATAAAATATAGTACTAAATTCATATAATAGGTAAAATTATGGTTATAATTATTCCTAATTTTACCAGTAACAGTAAACCTATAAGAAATACTAAAAAAACGCTAAGATTCATATAAGCAAATATATGTTGTCCTCTCTTGACACTGTTTGAAACATGGTGGACCAAATTCAAGATATAGCATTTTCATTGAATGAACTAAAACAATTCTTCATTCAAATGTATTCTTCCAACTTGCAAGGCAACAAACCAAACATGAAAATTGATTGAAAATGACTCTAAGATGAGACTTTGAATTTCGTAGGAATGGACTAAAATTTTTTTTTCTTCCTTTACTATTTGATGTAGGACTTTCTTTTTAATACTAAAAACCACAAAAGTCATAATTGAATACCATCGGATTTTTATGGATTTTATAAGAGTTTGAATTGAATATCACAAAATTTTAATAGACTCTAAAAGAATCTAAATTGAATACCATTGGAATTTTAAAATCTTTTAAAATCTAGCAGACTCTTAATCCAATGCACCCTCCTAAGCCACGGGAAGGCGACTCAAAAATATGATTTTCCAGAACTAGAGTTGGGCCATAATGTGCCAACCAATCTGTGCAAGAATTTGCTTCCCTGTATATATGCGAAAGATGCACCTCCCAGCTTCTGCGAAGCAGCTGCTAGATGTTCAACACCAGATTATAAACCGGAGAAGGAGCAATAGCCTGATTAACCTGCCAAATCGCTTGAGAATTATCCAGCTCCACAAGCAATGCCAAATCGCTTGAGAATTATCCAGCTCCACAAGCAAGTCACGCACCCCTCTATCCCAAGCCAGCTGCAAACCTAGAAAAAGGCCCCAAAGCTCTACCATAATAACTGAACAACTACCCAAATTACAGCAAAACCATAACACCATCTCATTGCATCATTTCTGATTATAAGCAAATGTTGAATAAACTTTAATATAGCCTAGATCTATTATTCATAGAATTTATTTGATAAGAATATACAATAATCGGAAGCGTACCTTGATCTATAACAGCAGACCTATGTTATGGGTTACCTCGTTGCGGCAATTCGATTCTCACCGTAACAGCAGATGTACGTTTCTTCCTCTGGCCTTTTGTCCGTAAGTTTTCTCTCAATGGTCAGAGATTAAATTATCAACAGCTACAGGAGTTTGTTTTCACGCTCTCTCAAACAAGCTATCACCGTATGTATTTGAGGCAGCCATCACACTCTCTATTTTGTTTTCTTTTCTGTGTTAACCCTAAGCTATTGATTCCTTTATCTTTTTAAGGTAGATGAAGGATATTAAACCCTAACTGACCCTTATCCATTAAGCCCACTAACCATCATCTTGGACCACCTTAATTAGAACCAACCCTTTAATCACATGGGCCACATATAAATTATTAAATAATCTAACAATCTCCCACTTGGCCCATCCTAACAATCTCCACTTGGCCCATGTGCATTTCCTTGAATCTATCATTTACTTTAATTTAGAATTAAGATGATCGATTATGGCGGTCACTAAGTCATTGATCGACATGAATTCCTTCTAATAATATCACAGACCACTTCAAATTCAATAAAACATTTAATGGATGAAACCTTTCAACAAACATATACATTGTCACAAATCAGTGTTAAGTTGTTATCTCACTTAAACCACATTGTATACATTCTGTAATGGTGGATAAGCACATAAATAAGCAAAAAACACATCTTTAATTGAATTCCAAGTGTCACAATAATATGAGCAAAACAACCATATGTATTTCTGCAATAGCTTATTCAGAAATAATTGAATCAGAAATAATTGACTGCGTTTTATAAGCATTTGCAGCCATGGTCATTTGTTACAAAATACTTAATATATTATATTCACTTAAACCATCTATGTTCCATCATAGATTGTTGAAGCATTATTTTTAAATTGAGATATAATGTTAGGTTTATCAATAATGCCTAAGTCTGGTGCCCTATTTACTATTTCTCGATGATGATTTATAGGATTTAACTCAAATTGTTTAGCGTTTTCTGAGTCAAGTTCGCTGTCATCAGAGTTGGTGTTTTCTTCTATAGTGTTTATATTTCTAGAGGCTTCAGTAGTGTCAGGAGCTACATGTTGATTAGTTGCTGAATGAAGGTGCTGAATTGAACCTCAAGTTTAACTGTCAAGTTGGATCTTTTAATTTATTACAAAATTTCTTGGTACTTGATTGAGGAAAAATTTGCATAACAAGGTTTAAAACCATTGTGAGTTGTTACAGGTTTCTTTTCCTTTTATGGTTTCTGGATACTGAAAGGTTTATCTTCTAGCATATGTTTCTATTGCGTTTTATTGTTGGAGTTTAAAACACAAATTAAACTTGCCCATTGACTAAAGTGTATTTTGTCAATTACCTTTTTATTTTATATCATTTATCGTGAACAATTTATATGCGTGCACAAATAAAATTTCATTATCTTGATATTTCCAATTTACCTAATTGTTTAAGGGAGGAAAAATCACTTTTTAATTGTTTTTGATCATTACTATCGCAGTTCGGCCTTTTATTCGTCTTATAGGTTATTAGGATTTTAAACTTCTTAGCAGTTTTATTCTCTTTAATTAATTTATACCAATCCAAAAGAAATTTAATTTTCAGTTTGGTTACATATTTTATAGTCTAAAATACTCATATTTTTAATCTTCAAAAAGTTAAAGTTTTTAATTATCCTTTTTCATTTTTAGTTTAAATTCGTTTAGTTTAGAGTATTTCTTTTAGTTAACTTTTTTCATATTCATCTTTACGCTAAGAACATTTAATTCTCGTGTTTATATCACTAACATTTTCAGTTATAAGCTGAAGCGTGTTGGTGATTTCTGGGAGCAGAATTAAACCAAGTTAGACTGTTGATTTACATAATTATCTTACAGGGATTATAAAACTGCCTGTTGGGATAGAATGACTATTAATTCAACTCCTTTCATTTTGTATTTGGAATATCCGAAGTAGGAGTATCTAGGTTTTACTAAAGTCTGAATAATAGGTTTAGTGTTCGGTTCTTTATATTAGCGATAGATCACAGAAGGTATAGAGGAAACTTGGTTTGATCATTTTTCATCTGTTGTCACAGAAGGAAGAGTTGACCCTGTATAACGCTCATTACTTTGACTACGATTAAAAAATTTTAATGTTACTTTACCAGTCTCCAAAGTTGTTCAATTTTTTGTAAATTGTACATTTTGGTTTACTGGTTCTGGAGCAGGAGGGAGGTACGACCCTTCCGAATATCCATTCATTTGGAAGGTAAGTATCTTTCCATTTTGAATTGTTTAGTGAAATTACCGTAATTCGGTTTTTTAGTCAAAGGTCTGTTGTGAAGGAAATCTGTGGTTTCGTCCAATTTTAGTTTGTAAATTTATATGTTAGTCAAAGGCTGAATTCATAGCTTTAGTAATTTGATGTTCTATAATTAAAGCGATAGGAATAGATCCTTGCTTCATGTTTATAATTGATGGAGTTTTATTTCTAAAAACTATACTCTCTAATTATATTTAAAATTCAATTTAATGGATACAGTTCATATCTGGCATAGACCTCAAAAGGAGATCGGGTCCTTTCACTTAAAAACTAGTCTCAACAGATCCTAATAAAGAAAGTCTTGAAAATTTAAGAAATCTAGCATTGTACCTCTTACCACGTGGCCAAGGAATACTAGTGTTTTAATCCTTCTCTTGGTTAAAGGTTTATGTCCTCGCTACTTGAATTAGAACCCTATATTGGAATATATTATATTTTTACTTTTATGATGTTGCAACAGTTAGAGATTAAAGAGTTATTCTTTCAAAGGGTTTACTTAATTTGAAAATCTTCTTTCTTCGGTTGTTAATTACATAATCTGTTTAAATAAATTAAATTTTAGAAACTTTATAAATTTGTTCTTTATCAAAAACTTTAGGGAATTTCCCCATTCAATTTCAATTCGCTTTACTAAGAAGATTCTTTGCAAAATTAATTCATTTCCTATTTATGAGCTCTGTTTAATTTCTGGGGTATCGGAGTCTTCGATCTATAACTACTAGCCGATCTACATGAGGAAAGATCATTATAATTATGAACGGTAAAATTTTTTGACTACCTGGTTTATACCCTTCCTGGTTATTACCCGTTAGATGCCCACTCAAGATGCCACTCACATGGGACTTACTCATGGGTTCAGTAGGCGTGGGTTCAGTAGGCAAAGCCAAAACCTTTTATTATATATCATAAAATGAAAACTTTTTATGTATATCTACCACGTAGTACTAAATTTACTGGCTCTGATACCAACAAAAGACTTGATGATTTTAAACAAAAGACTATTCCACAAAAGACTTGATGATTTTAAACAAAAGACTATTCAACAAAAGACTAAAGACTTGATTTTAAACAAAAGACTATTGACTAATGACTTTAAAATTCTAATAGACTAAAGACTAAAGACTTTAATACCAAAGACTTATGCCTTTTAAGTTTTTATCGTATATAAACTTTAAGGATAAAGACTTAGTAAAAGAGTTACAAGTCATATATATGTAGAGAGCTAAGATTATTACTAGGATTTAAATAAATATTACTAGGATGTAAATAAATACAGATACAAACATTTAAAGGATAAAATTATAACTGTGAACTAAAATACGTATGATAATTGGGTTTATATTGAAACTTATATAAATTCATTAAGTATATTTAAATTTTACTTCAGAATCAAACATTAACAGTTTACACAATATTTCTTGATGGTGGAAGATCATTACTAAGCTGCATCCACAGAGCATACTTAGAACAAATTTAATCAACAATTTAGCACAAAGTTTAGGGGTTCCTGCAAACCTTAACCTGGGATCGCCAGAATTAAGTCAGAGTGTGGAGGAGGAATGAGAATGTGCCGTAAAAGCACGGACTTATATTTGTAGCAGTTTAAAGAATAAAATTACGAAACTTTAGTTAATAAACAGAAATAGCCAAAATAACAAGATTTAAAATTTACAAGAGTTTTTGATTTTTACTTTAGACTTTCTCCAACTTGAACTCTTACAACTTGAACTAGGAGCACAGAAGGAGAGAGGGATTATAGGTGATAACTAAAACTAAAACTTATGATAGTATCTATTCTAAACTTATATCTTCACAAGGGGAGAGGCTCCCTTTATATAGAAAAACCAAAGAATCTTCTTTCCTGTAGACTGTTTACTTGTTACTGTTGATGCCACGGAATTTTACTATAGAGAAATAGTGCTTGGTCGGCCATTAGAGCTTGCCTTTTACTGTAGAGACACGTGAAGGAATAAGGTTCCTTCTGCCTTTTAATCAGATGAGGACGAACGACAGTGTCCTTCTTTTTCTTGTCTGTTTCTGTTTTCACTTTGCTTTTTTGTTTTAACTTTTGCTTTCCTTTTTCTTTTTTCGTCAGGCTTTTACTTTTTACTATTGTCAGTTTTACTTTTTACTATTATTGATTGAAGAATATCATCATTACTATCTTTACTTGAAACAAGGGAAGATGATGATGTTGACGAAGATGAGGACTCTATGTCTGCCCATTTGGCTTTGCCTTTAAGACTTGGTTTGGATGACGATTTATCTGAAGAAACTGCTGGCGGTTTACTTGATGAGGGTTTTATTGGAGAATCTGAACTTGTGGAAAGCTGCTGGAACATTTCCTGGCAAATTCTTTTATACTCATCAGGTGTTTTAGCCGCTGCTAACCTGGCTTGACACTGTGCTTTTTGGAATGCCAAATGTAGGTTGATCCTTTAAAGCAAGAGTTGTAGCATAGGTTAATGCAGGTGTACCAGAAAGTTTAGTTCTAATCCATTGGTCGATTTTAAGTTCAGTGGTAGAGTTCTTAAATGATCCCCACCATTTAATCTTGTGTCGTTTTATCAACATAGGAATTTGAGTTCCTATGGCATACTGAGTGTCCAAATACCATTGATATACCCAAGGCGTAATACTCAGGGCGTAAAGAAGGCCATGCAATAGTACATTAAGGATGGAATATGGGCCTCTTCAGGTCTTGGTTTATAATGGGCTTTAAAGTACTGATATAAAGAGATGATAGGAGGAGGGAGAATATCATTGGATAAACCCCTGGTTTGCCACCATTTTTTAAACCAAGTTTGGAATCTTTAAATCAGTACGAAAAGACTGATCAAAATAAATTAACCACGAATGAGTAGCAGTGGGATTTTGAACATAAAAAACCTTTTCCCATGCTTCTTTATAGTCAAAATAATTATAAGTAGTACTATGCACATGCTTATATAAAACTTTGGATTTTACTGGAGTATAAAGAGATGGAGCAGGCCAATCTTTAGGATGAATAACTCTTTGAATTTTTATGGAAGAATACAAAATAATTGATTTATTTTTAGAATCCAGATTATGTTTAATTTTGACAGATCCAGTATCAAGTAAAATATTATGGTAATACTCCTGAGGTTTTTAATGGTAGAATAATTCAATTGTGTTTGGTTCCAATGACCAGATGTATATTGAATAATACGTTCTTTACCATCAATAACTTGCTTTAGAATACCACCATATCCAACATTTGATGCATCTGTTTCAACAATTTTAAAAGCTGTTGGATTAGGGATATACAGATATGGAATTTCTGTCACTAAGGCTTTTATCTTTTTTACTAATTGTGTGTGCTGGGCTGTCCATGGGCCTGCATTTTTCTTAAGCCTATCATGCAAAGGTTTAATCATACAGTTTAAATTTGGGTAAAAATCTATAACATAATTTAAACATCCAAGAAAATGTTGGAGTTGGGTTTTATTTGGTAATTCATCAGGGAATTTAGATCCAAACAACATAGCACGTTCAATGGGCTGGATAATACCCTGTTCTATATAATGACCCAAAAATCGAACTTTGGTTTTAAACAAGTCCATTTTGGTTTTACAAAGGGCTAACCCATTACTTTCTACTATCATGCAAAATGTTTTTAAGTTTTTAAAATGGTCTTCTAAGGTTTTACTAAAAATTAGAACATCATCAATATACACTATACAGAATTCAGAACAAGAACTGAATATGTCATTCATTATTCTTTGAAATTCTGATGGTTCAAAAGAGATCGGTCCTTCACTTAAACTAGTTTAAACATCATGCTAACAAAGACTTATCTATAATGCCCATTCTAATCATTGCTAACAATCTTCTTTGATCAGTCTTCTTTGATCCGCGGTGATTCCTTTTTCATTTCTTTCCATTATTTTTCTTTCTTTATTTATATTTTTGTTAAGTTAAAGCTTAGAATATATAGTCTTAGATTTGTAATATTTAATAAATTTTAAATATTTTTGGTACTCTCTTAGTGGGGTGTGTGTTTTGATTTATTAATTTTTCTTCTTTCATAGAGTTGTTCCTCATTATTGATCAGGAGTTTTTATATGATCTTTTATTTCTTCTTTATTGGTACCTTAAGATATAAGATAAATTGTTGATTGCTCGAGGTTAGAGAGTTTAGATAGAGTTTCTTTTATAAATGAAGTTTGGTAGTGCGAACTATTCTCCATTAAAGTTTGCACTTTAAAGTTTAAACTTTCGTGTGGGTGCCAGTTGTAGTAAGTTTTGGAAAGAATGAAGTTCAAAACAATATTACAGAAAGTTTATTTTGTTATCCTATTTGCAAATGAATCATTTTTTACTCAGAAGATTAATTTATTTTGTCAAATTTATCTCCAAAAAGAATATTTGAACGCTTCATATTTGTATTTTTATTTCTAGGAGAATATTACAATGTACTCAAATTATATTTTTTATTAATGAATTGTTAAATTTCTTTAAAAAAAATACTAAGAAGAAATTAAATGTAAAAATAGAAATTTGTCACATTTTAAGTCGTTATAGATTTTTATTACGAGAAATTGAGTGTAATGACTTAAAAAAAACAGAGAAAAATCAAAAACATCAATCTTAAAATCAACAATAGAATTATGGGAAATTTATTATTTAGTCCCTCAGGTTTTACAAAATTAACCAACTAATCCAAGATTTTGCCAAAATATCTAGCTAGTCCCTCAGGTTTTAATTATAGACTAAAAGACTAAAACACCCCTCCCTAGCTGACGTGGACTATAAGGGAAAATTATTATCTAGTCCCTCAGGTTTTACATAATTCATGTTTTACATAATTTATCTAACTAATCCCAAGTTTTGGCAAATATGCTTAACTAGTCCCTCAGGTTAACTCCGTCTAAATTGAAAGGTCCTTCGGTCCGAAAGTTAAGTTTTTTTTCGTGAATTGAAGACTAAAAGACTAAAACACCTCTCCTAGCTGACGTGGAACCAATATGAAAGCGATAGAGGGGAGGGAATTGGTATAAACTAAAAAGACTAAATAATAATTTTTCCCCTATAAGTTTATGCACATCGTAGAAATTGTAAATAGGACTAAGCCTTAATTACACGTAGTAGGAAAATTTAGGCTTCGCTACAAAATTTAAAAATGAAAAATGTTGAAAGAGTTTTCATATAAAGTAGAATGGAGACATAATCATTTTTCTCTCTTTAAATGTAACGTTTGTTTTAGATTATGAATATTGCAAATTCGAAAACCATTAAATATATTATGTCTCAAAAATATACATCTCATTCTATAATATTTCGTCACATTTAGAATTTCATGTCTTTTAAAAACATTATTAAATTTTGTATAATTATAATAAATTATTGAATAAATTTTGACAATATTACTCTTAATTTAATATTAATCTCTAAGAAAATCATTAAATTGAAATAATAATTATTAATCATACACAAAGGGTAAATATGAAAAAAATATTTATTACTCCTTAAAAAATATAACAAGTATTTTAGACCAAATTAGATAAATATTTTAGAACAAACTATTTTCTCAAATCTGACAAGTATTATGGAACAAAGACAGTATTAAAAAAAGGATAAAAAAATCAATTTGATGTTCTAATTAAATATTATTAAATTTAACTGAATCATGAAAGTAAATACCTCTTCAAAAAAGTAAATACCTCATTTTTCTTTTTACCCCAACTTATCATCATAGTTTCTTTTTTAGACAAAAAGTAATAAACATAATTTTCTATTTTATTCATATTTAATATGCAAATTTTATCAAGAAACATTACTATTATCATTGATAAAATAAAATCTAAAAAAAAAAACAAAGTATTCCATCTATTCATAAATACTTTTAATATTTTTATGGTAATTAAGTAAGTAAATTTATTCTTATAAATTATAACAAAATATTAATTAATTTTATTACGTAACCTTAAGTAAAATTGAAGTAATAATTATTAATCATACACATTAATATTCTAAAAAAAAAGATATATTATTAAATTTAATATAAATAAGGATAAAATTGAAAAAAAATTAATTACTCATTAATATTATAAAAAAAAGATATTTGCGGAGAAAACACCGGCTCTAAAATAACAGTTATTTATAGATAAAAAATAATTATTATTGCCACCTATATTATTATAATTTCATAACTTTGAATATGAATATTAATATTTAATGCAAGGTTATTCTGTGCAAAAGATAAATTAGGTATATCATTATAGCATAGGAGGAACAAAAGGGAAAGTGAGTATAACAAACAGTACACACTTTACATATTGTGTATATTATACTTTTATCATTAAAATTAATAGAATACTAGATTAGAATTATTATTATTATTATTGATATTTATTATATATTTTATTTTATCAATTTAAATTCAAATATATTAATGTGATATATGACAGGCAAAATTAAGCCCCACAAAATATGACAGTAAGTCAGTAACTCTTAAATATGGCTCAACTGTCCGTCCTATAAATTCTTCTCGTGTTTTCTACTATCAGACAATCTTAAAAATATGGGTCAACTTTGACATTCATTGATGAAAATCCATACAAGGAATATTAATTGCAAAATTGTCAGGAGTATTAAAAGTTTGACTGATTTTAATACCCATTTCCAAAAAAAAAAAAAATAATAATAATAATAGAACCTGAGGGACTAAATAAATAAATTACCTAGAATTATTGACTAAGCCGATGATTTTGCCATAATGAAATTTGTTGGTCAAAAAAAAAAAAAAAAAAAAAAAAAAAATGAATATCATACGTCAAGAGTAAAAGTCCTTTTTCAGAAAAAAAGAAAAACAAAAATGAACACGTGGTAAGAAGTCACATCGATTTTCATCTACTACCAGTACTAACTTTATTAATCAATGTAAATATAAAAAACATATATAATTAATATAGGCCTAATTATGATATAATTATTCCTAATTTTACCAATTAAATGCTACACCAATAAGAATAATAAAAATTCTATCTTTGGTTCCATAAAGTATTATCACATTTGAAATTTTTTAAGTCCCTTAAGAAAGTTATTAAAATTTGTCTAAAATTATAGTAATTAATGAAGTAAATTAATTATCTAAGTAAGTTATAGTAAATTATTGAGTAAATTGATTATATTACCCTTAAGTTAATACTAATTCTTTAAAAAAATTATTAAATTAAAGCAATAATTATTGGTAATATACAAAGGTAAATATGAAAAAAAATATTTATTACTCATTGAAACTACGATTGTGACAATTATTTTAAAATAAATATTTTTTCAAATGTAATAAGTATTATGGAACGGAGATAATAGTTAGATTAATTTATATATAATCAAATATATGGTGCATACAATAAATGTATTTCAAACTTGGTCAATCCAAAGGCAAACTTGAGTTCTTCTTGTATGAACCAAAATCAAAGAAGAGGATTTTCATATTCTTCCAATAAACAAACCAAACAAGAAAATTAATTCAAAAGAATACAAGGATGAGGCAAATTTTGTGAATTTTCATTTTTCATTGTTTGATATAACAATTTCTTTTTAATACCAATCAACCAAAAAACAAGTGAAAGAGAAACTTACCTGAAAAGTAACAGACAGCACTAGTTATAATTCATTAAGAAAATTTTTTCAATTTTATAAATTTTACTAGTTGAAGACCCGCGCATCGATTTATAATCTTGGCATAATTGTCAAAATCGAGGTACTTAAGCATTAATAATAATTTATTTAATGTAACCTTTTCATACTTCCTTCCTTGGTAAATTCATAATTTGGTAAAATTTATTCGTTATTGTTTTATGAATTGAAATAAAAATGCAAAAATTCAATGTGAATTTTAATTAGTTAAAATTCTGAGAATTGTACAAACTATACCATATTTAAGAAAAGGACCCGATAAAATACATAATGATATTAAATAATTGATATTAGGCTCTCATCAAGAAATTTCAATTTTCTATCTATTGTAGCGCTCAAAGTCTCAAGCTCTCTGCTTGATCTCTCACTCTATTCAATTCTTCTCTTTCTCTCTTTTTCTCTCTTCAATTTCCTTTATTTGACTTCTCTCTTGTCTCTACCTCTCCCTCTTCTTGATATTCTATTGGACCAAATGAAGCTCATTGGTACGTTTGCAAAAGAATCGAAGAAGCATGATCGTGAAGTTGATTGAGTTTATGGCAAAACTTCTTTCGATGGTGAATATATATATACTGATAGTGAATATATCCGTATAAGGTTAGAAGTTTGAATTAGAAAAATATCTGGTATAGACTAACGGATAACAATTAAATCTATTTGAATTTTATCATTGGAAAATCTATTTTAAATACAAATTAGATAGAGAGTTAATTATTTTTATAGAGATATGATACAATGCGATTTTAAAAGTAATATTAAAAGTAATTTTTATTACTATTATATGGAGATAAGAGATAAAAATAAAAAACATTTATATAAAAAGAAATAGAAAAAGCTTATAAATTTGTAAAAAACAGGAAATATAGAATGCATAAAAAGTAGAGTGTTATATCATCAATATAGAATGCATAAAAAGTAGAGTGTTATATCATCATTTTTAAAATATTTTTTACCTCAGGGTTATATATACTTTAAAAAATTTATAGTGTATACTTATTCAATTAAATTGGAATTAACTGAAAAAAATCAACTTTAGCATTTCTTTCAGTTGGATCACTAAGTTTTAATTTTGGTAGCACATGTTATTAAAAAAAAAATTAAATAACAAAAACATTTCAAAAAATACTGCACAATTTTGGACTTAAAACATAAGCTAATAGATTTTGATTATTCGGTAAATGTCTATTTACGAGAAAATTGAGTACATTGACTTGAAAAAAAAATAAATTAATCACCTACTAAAATCAGCTAAAAAAAATTAATCACCTACTAAAATCAGCTAAAAAACTTATGGGTTATGGCTCACCTGGCAACGCAGGCTAGACATATAGGGAGAGATTTCGGGTTCAATTCCCACTTAATGCACCTGCAGAGAGGGACGAGGAGCTTTAATTGTGACTAAACCTCGAGCCGGATTAGACGATTCCTGATAATGGAGTCTGGATTTAGACACTTTTAACTTTTTATAAAACACTACCTTAATCCTAAAAGTTAATTCCTTTTGTCAAAAACTCTAAAAGTTAACTATAATGTTGCTGCAGAACACAACCATAGCGTTGATGAACTTATAATTACTGCATGTAAATGTTATATTCTTATTAACTTACAGTTGTAATTATCATGATCTCTTTCAATTTTTTTTTATCAGAAAAATTCTTAATTGATTAATAATATTCCAAAAAAAAAAAATTAACATACTTTAACAACTAAAAACAGACCGATAGATCTCTCCAATAAATCCAACTTAATAATCTCTGGTTGAAACTTATGCGTCCAAATTGTGTCCTTTCAACCAAATAATCTCTGGTTGAAACTTATGCTACCAAATTGTGTCCTTTCAAAAACACAAGTAAAAGTGCTTTACACAAAAAAAAAAAAAAAAAAAAAAAAAAAAGTAGCATCAACCAAATATCTTCATACTAATTCTTGACAAGGAAAAGAACCAAAGCTGTTGAAATTTGAACATACAAGAAACTTATTCATAAATTCAAAGCGAACTCAAAAGAGATGTGTAGGACTCTCCCTCCCGTATTTTTTTGTCCTATTTCTTTTTTTAAGTAAATAATATTTAAAGTTTATTATTTTGTTTTTGTTTAGTATGCTTATTTATCAACAAATATAATCGTCAAACCACTACATTATCATTAATTAAATCTCGATGTAAATAAAATTAAATATTAACCTTTAATATTCCAAAAAAAATCTATTTAATTAGACATATATTTAGTTAATTTCAAGAACAATTTAATATGAATCATTCATTAAAATTAGATTGCATAAAGACAAAAAAAATAAAAATTATAATTTAATTATATTAACTGAATTTTTTTAACAAGTGTGCAAGTCAAATTGGAATAAAAAATATGGGGATAGCCCGTTTTGAACAAATGAATTCCACAAAATTTTGTAAAATTCATTTGGAAATCCAATGCTTTGTGTTTGTATTTTTTCTGATAATACAAAAGAATTTATATGCCAATTAAAAACAATTATTATTTGGGGAGGCATTTTAATCATTTGAGACATCAGTAATCAATTCATTCTGTCTGTATTTTTAATAATTTAAAAATTATAGGGAATTTCAACATTTTCATGTGCTCTTCAATTATTATTTGGGGAGGCATTTTAATCATTTGAGACATCAGTAATCAATTCATTCTGTCTGTATTTTTAATAATTTAAAAATTATAGGGAATTTCAACATTTTCATGTGCTCTTCCAATTTTTATTTCACATAATCTCTGGTGGAGACAATCTGGCAATATACAAGCCCATTCATTATCTCCCTTTATAGAAACATGAGTAAAATTATAACCAATAACAACCTGATGATTTGAGTGCTAGCAACCTTATTTCCGTAAAGATGGAACATAAATTGGATTCCTGTGAAATGCATTAAATTATTACTGGCGGTATAGAAAGGGGCCATGACCTTTTGTTTACAAACCAGCACGTAGCAAGTGCCATGAATTTTTGTTTCCAAATCAACACGTGGTAAATAGCATCCATCTATAAAAGGGCAGCCATGACCTTTTGTTTTCAAACCAACAAATTGAAGTTTATTCCTCTTTAGTTCTCAAAAATGACAATGCAACCTACAATTTCAAAAATGACAATGCAACCTACAATTTTTGAAGCAAACTCCCCTAAAAAAATCCTTCGTACTCCATTCTTATTAAGCTTTCCTAGTACTAAGCAGAACTATATTCATTTGGCTTCCTTTTCCTCAGCTAAGCCAACAGTTCGAAGAACACTTAAAGCTTGTTCATCAAAACAATCCGAGACAACAGTTCGTCCATTAGCCAACTTTCCTTCTACTGTCTGGGGGGAGCGCCTTGGTTCTCTTCCATTTGATCAATCGGTATGTCATTTTCATACGTACTGAGTATGCTCAAATATACATTTTGATATGTACTTGACTTTTTATATTTTTTGTATAGGGATTTGAATCATTAAGTAAACAAGTACAACTGTTGAAGGAAAAGGTAAAAAATGACATGTTAACGGCGTCAACAAGTGATTCAGTAGAAAAAATCATCTCGATCGACTCACTATGTCGCCTTGGCGTATCATATCATTTTGAGGACGAGATTGAAGAGAATTTAAATAAGATTTTCAATAACCAACCTAATTTTCTTAATGAAAATGATTATGAAAAATGATTATGATCTCTACACCGTTGCTGTAATATTTCGGGTGTTTAGACATCACGGTTTCAAAATCTCTTCTAGTAGGCAACTCTTTACATTTAAATAAAAATATTTGTTGAATATATATACACTAAATAACAAATAAAGTTGATATATGTTAGGCATCAGCTCTGATACCAATTGTTGGGCATCAGCTCTGGTACCAATTGTTGGGCCTCAGGTACCACTTGCCTCAGCTCTGATACCACTCGTTGAGCCCTCACAAAGAATTAAGAGAAAATTAACGCAGCGGAAAAGTAGAAATTACTAAGCCCTTTTTGAAGCTACACATCTGAGCATGCCTTAATGAATCCATTTTAAGATTGAGGCCTTAGTTTTCCACTTAGCTCATCTAAAATTGAATCCATTTTAGATGAGGCCTTAACTTCACTAAGGCTTTCTTGGAGGTCTCTGCGGATTGAGTCATTCCCTGATTTTGCAAAGCATATTAACCAATGCCTAGAGCAGCCTGTACCAAAGGCCTTACCAAGGCTAGAGGCAAGAAAATATATCGATTTATACGACGGTTGAATTGAAAATCAAAATGAAGCTCTACTAGAAAGCTTTGCAAAGTTTGGATTTTAACAGCCAAGTACAATTACTACACCAGAAAGATTAAGTCGAATTTCTCAAAGGTAATTCATCTTTTTCTACCAATTAGAGTTATTAATCTCATTATCAAAACTCTAATTTAGGGTTTATTTGAACTTATTAATTTCTATTGATTCAGATACTTATAAGTTAGCAATTAATTGATATTTCAGGGTTGGTGGAAAAATGTTGAATTTACTAAGGAATGTCTCCTTATGCAAGAAAATAGAAGGCGGGAAATCTTCTCTTTTGGACAGTTTTCTATGTATTTCAACCTCCAATATGCAAAGGCTAGAATGATTGTTTCCAAAGTTGTATTGTTTATCTGCAATTAACTAGGATGACACAATTGATGGCATATTGCCACCATAGAAAGAAATTGGACCGTTCTTTTATATGCATTTGAAGGTAATTGCACTTAGTTGGCATTTTATGTGCTGTATATATATTTATTGTATAACAGATTTGGATCACACCATTTAAATGATGTGCGATTTGTCCTTTTCTTCATTTTTTTTTTTATTTCATTAGGTGGGAACTATGGGCTTGGATTGAATCATCTTCCTGGGATACATGAAAGATAATCTTATAAATTAATTGATCAACACCACATTAACAATGAATTTGAAAAAGATTTGGAGGCAGAAGGAAAGTCTTACAGCATCAAGTACGGAAGGGAAGCGGTAATCTATTTTGCATAGAATCTTTAGTTAATCAAATTCATTTCTGAATTATAATTAATCTTTGTTTGTTGGTATCCAGTTTCAAGAACTAGTGCGAGCGTATTACCAGGAGGCTCTATGGAAGGCTGACGGAAAAGTGCCAACATTTGATGACTATATTTTTAACGGAGGAGTGACTTCGGGATTGCCTCTTGTTGCAACTGTATCTTTTATGGGAGTAAAAGAAATCAAAGGAATTAAAGAATTCGAATGGTTGAAAACCTATCCAAAGCTCAACCAAGCTGGAGGCGAGTTTGGCCGTATGGTGAATGATGTAATGTCTCATGAGGTACTTACTATATTAAAAACCAAATCCTAACACCTTTTTTGTTTTTATTAATTTAGTAATTTAGAACACATATCAAATGCTTAAAAATGCCTTTATAAATCACAGACTGAGCAAAATAGAGGACATGTTGCTTCTTGCATCGATTGCTATATGAACCAATATGGAGTTTCCAAAGAGAAGGCAATGGAAGAGATCCAGAAAATAGCTATTGCATCGATTGCTATATGAACCAATATGGAGTTTCCAAAGAGAAGGCAATGGAAGAGATCCAGAAAATAGCTACAAATGAATGGAAGAAAGTAAACGAGCAACTTATTATGCAGTCTAAAGAAGTAGTATCAGTGGGTATCCTCATGAGAATTGTTAATCTTGTTCGTCTAGCATATGTCAGTTACAAGCATGGAGATGGATATACTGATTCAAAGCATTTGAAAGACTATGTCAAAGGAATATTCCTTGAACCTATCCCCGTTTGAAGTCAATTTCATGGATATCTCATAATGCTAGTTTTCTGCAAAGGAGAAAACTATATGTATTCTCTAGATTCTTGTCCTATATATGTCTGCATAAATCATGCAACTCTTTTTTCTTTAATTTAAATAAATTATCTAATAAATTTTAATTATTCTCTATTTTCATCAAATCCTTATCTTATCGGAAATGTTAATATATTTATATAGTAACTAGTGTTAAAACCTAGTAAAAGATGAAATAATCTTTCATAATATCATTCAAAAATAATAAATAGTATAATAAAATGATCATGATATGATTTATAAAATTGTATCATTGAGATATGTCAAAAAAAAATTACAATGCTAAAATATGTTTTCTTAAGTATCATTCGAATCCTTTTACCAAAATATATAATAGCAAAAGTCATGCATGGTATATGACCTAAGGGTGTCAAAATGGGTTGGCGTGTTAGGTTCAACATGGATTCCCCTACACACGACACGATTAGTGTTAATGCGAACACGATCAATTTAATAATTGTGTAAATTTATCGGCACGAACACGACACGAAAATTAGACAGGTAATATGAACATGATACGTTTAATCCACTTAATATCATAAATAAGTTAAGTGGATTATGTTGACCCATATATAACTCGTGCGATCCACTTAATATCATAAACAGGTTAAGTGGGTCATGTTGACTTATATACGATCCACTTAATATGTTTATAATATTTTTAAATCTTAACCTATTTAACTCCAATCGTATTTTAAAACAAATTTTGATTCATAAAATACATATATAAATTTTTTAAGATTCATAATAAAATAAAATAAAAAGTAATACAACAATAAAACTTAAATAGATTTTAGTTGGAGTATTTATATCTAACATTAAAATTAAATAATAAAACTTAAATAGATTTTAGTTGGAGTATTTATATCTAACATTAAAATTACCTTTTTACTCTTAAATAAATGGGTTACTTGCCTAATCGGCCTGCCAACCCGCGACACAGTACATTTATATTTGTGTCATAAATGTATGACTCGTTTATGACATGAACCTGTTTAACATCAACCTTAATCTATTTATTTCGCATGTTAGGCGAACTGTTCAGATCTATTTTGACACCCCTAGGACTTGCATAAAAAATGCACACATGCTATTAATGTATTTTTCAATAGTGATAATAATTTTTGTATTTTTCTAATAGTTGATTAATAATTTTGAGAATTTAACTAAATTTATTATTGAAATAAAAAATTAAATTTTATTATTTTATGTTTTACTGGTTTATATAAATGATTATTTATTTATTTGAAATATTAATTGTTATTACTTATTTAGTGCAGTATGTCTGAGCGTTTATTTGAATGTCCTTACTTATGTTACTCAATTTTTTGGATATAAAAAAAACAAAATTAATTTTTCTCTACAAATTTATTTTTATTAGTTTTTTTATTTTGCTTTTTAATTCGAAGAAGAAATTATCAGAATTTTTTTTCCTTATAATTCTTTTCTTATTTCCAAATAAAATAGTTTTTGCTGATTAATTAATAGTTTTAGTTTTCTTTTCTTTTTTTCCTTCTTATATGACCTTTATCTAAAAATATAAAAACAACTTATCTTTCTTACAATTATATACTAACTCCTTACACTTCGCAATTTGTCCTAATATCATAAATATATTAAATGGGTCGTGTTAACCTATATACAATCTGTATAACTCACTTAATATCATAAATATGTTAACTGGGTCCCGTTGACTTGTGTACAACCCACTTAGCATGCTTATAATATTTTTAAATTTTAACTTATTTAACTCCAATTGTACTTTAAAATAAATTTTCATGCATAAAATGCATTCATTCTTCAAGATTCATAACTAAAATAAAAGTAATACAATAATAAAATTTAAATAGGTTTTCGTTTTAGAGTATTTATATCTAATACTAAAATTATCTCTTTTAATACTAAAATTATCTCTTTACTCTTAAATAAATGGGTCACTCGCATAACCCCCGGCACAATACGTTTATATTCGTGTTATAAATGCGTGACTTATTTATGACACGAACTCGTTTAATCTCAACTCTAACACATTTATTTCGCGTGTTAGGCAAATCGTGTTCCCGTATCATGACTCATTTTGACACCTCTAGTATGACCTGCATAAAAAAATGCACACACACTATAAAATGTATTTTTCAATAGTGAAATAAATTTAAGAATTTAACTAATTACATTGAAATAAGAAATTAATTATTTTTTTATTTTATGTTTATGATTTATATTTTATGTTTATGATTTATTATAAATGATTATTTATTTATTTAAAATATTAATGTATTATACTTATTTACTGTAGTATGTTCTAAGCGTATGGATGTCCTACTTATGTTACTTATTTTTTTTGGATATAAAAAAAATTAATTTGATTTTTAGAAAATTAAAAAAATCAAACTTGGACAAATGTGCTTGCACATCAATCAAATTTGTAAAACTTACCTGCCAAATTAATTGTTGGTCCTACTATTCCTATTTTTGGTTTTTTAATTTTAATAATTGATTGAACCTTTAGAAAATATAAAATAATTCATCTTCTCACAACTGTGCTAAATAATTGTTGTCATCTTCTCATTTGGCAATTTCAGAGACTTACAATTGTTTCTCTATAACACAAACTACCCTATTTTTATATAGATATAGATAAATAGAGACTTACACTTGGTTTCTCTATAACACAAACTACCTTGTTTTTATATAGATATAGATAAATATAGAATTTTCAATCGTGATAATAATTTAAAAATTTACCTAATTATATTGACCCGAATTTTTATTTTTGAAACTTTTGAAAATTTTATTAAATCAAAAATCTCGATTTTCAACTATATGGGCTATAAACACCAAACAATTTTAAATTGAGCCCAAAGTTTTGCAAGTTGGGCCCAAGTCCAAATATATTGTCGGAATTTTTGGTTTGAGAACAGTTAAAATTTTCAGAAAATAATATGAAACTCCAGCAATTTAATCTATTATGAATATATATAAATTAATTATCCTAAAATCAAATATCATTACTATTAATATTATTATTATTATTGAATAAATGGAGGAAATGTTACGGAATTTAACTAATATAATTAAAATAAATCGAACCGGACCCGGAAATCAAATCAAATTAATTTTTAATTGAAACCACGTGAAAAAACCTGCAAATCGAGAAAAACGGGCCAAATATAATTGAATTGAACCAAACCAGTCCGAATCGTAACCGAAATGGCCCATTGTTGCTCTATAACGCATCTTTTTTTTTTCTTTCCTTCACGCTCCTCCGCGCGTTTCTTTCCGCTCTTCTCTTCCTCCTCCTTTCCTGTCAGCCACTGGAGCTCGCTCGCCCGTCGTTTCCTTCTCCGCAGCAAGCTCGACCCCGCCGGCAGTGTTAAACCTCGCCTCTTTCCGTTCGTCTCTAATAGTTAGTAGCTGTTCGCAGGGGGAGTCGCGACCCGGAATCGGGCGTCGTGTTTAACATCCCTTCCCGGTCCACGCCGTAAGACCGGAATGAACGCGGAACCGAGATGCTACAAACTGGTTGACTGTATGGCTGACATGGCTGAATAATAATGTATATTGATATAGATATAATGCTATGTTGTTGTTTACACTAATTAATGTACTTAATATTTACAAGCACATGATACTAGTTTAACCAGACAATGAAATGGGCAACTGTGTGCCCTGTACAATGCCATTAAAAAGGCTAGACAAAAGATACACATTAAAATGAGTAGCGTACGCTGAAGAGTGAGTCTTCTACGATGAACTGCAGCAGTTGTAAACTGACTCTCTATGGTCACGTCCTCAAACCTGCGAGTTTAAAACAGGTACCTCGCTGAGGCAAATAAAGCTCAGTGGATCTATCTTCAAATATAAAGGAAACAATTAAGCACATACATAGATAGAAATAAGCATGTAAAATGCAATATGGATAAGTTAAACATATAAGCACATATAACATGATCTTTCGTTATACCTTTGTTTTTATCTTGTCGTATGTTTTATATACTGTATGATTTCACATGAAAGTTAGTCAAAATATCTATATGGCTTCATAAGGTTTAGTGGAAACCGAAGTGATAAGAAAAAAAACTGTATGATAAATCTGGATGAAAATCTACTGTATGCTTGGGCTGTTATGGCCCCATATATAATCAATATCCACTCAACGGCCCCCTGTACCGGAGTAATACGAACTGTATGGGGTGCAGATCTGCTTCCTATGTCACCGACATAGCCTTATCTAAGTGGTTTCTACCTAACTCAATGGAGCCTAATGTTTGGTTATGGTCAATAATATAACACAACATCATATTTATCATGAGTTTCATACTTCATAAATCATAATGTTAATTTGATTTCCACATATTTGCATGCTTGCATGTTGTTTTTTGATACATGGTTTCTAATGTTTGTGTTATTTTTGTTTTAAAATGATTGGGGGCAGGCATGCAAGTTGAGCAAAGGGAATGCATTGCATAGAAAATGAAGTCCAAAAGTGCATGAAAACACAAGTTCGGAGCGGCCTTGCAAAGTCGGCGAGCGGCTGAGATGCAAAAGAGAGTCAGTGAGTTAATCGGGCCACAAGTCGCGAGCGGCGCAGTGCAAAGCCATGAGCCGCGTAAAGCACCAAATGAAGAGTCAGCAGAGTTTCAGGTGAAAGTCGCGAGCTCGTCATGGCAATTCGCGCGCACGAGTCGCGTTTTTCAGCCTGCACAAGTCTGTACTCTTTGGTCATCTCTCTCAATATACAACTCCGATTTGATATTCAAAAAACCATGTAAGCTTAAAACATAAAGTAACAAATAATCATCTATGACACTTTCCTAATTCATCATTTAATGGGGATCAAAATCAAGAATGAAGTTACTGGTAAAATTTCCAGTACCAGTAACTCCCCTGTTTCAGCATAAACTCACTATTTACTTCAATTATTCAATTTCTCCCCTGTT